TAAAAATAGGGTTTTCTCATTTTTGACCCTAAAAACACAAAATTTCACAATTTCTTTTTAAACCATTTTGTAGAGCTTAAAAAAACAAATAATTTAGTATATTGAAGCGTTATTATGCGCCTAATTGTTACGGAGAAAATTCAAAAAAATTGTAATTTTGAAATTCCCATGTTATAGATGAGTGAACGAAGTGAACGAATCTATGTATCGTGTATAGCGGAGTCGGAGAAAAGTTGTCCGCTGGAGTATGTGTGTGTGTGTGTTCGCACCTAGAACTCAAGAACCGTTGCACTTATAGCGTTCAAATTTTGCACAAATAGTTATCACACCAGTGTAAAGACACCATTAAAATTCTAGACGATTCCGCTCAGTAGTAATTATAAAATACTTAAAAAACATTTTTAAATTTGTCCCATAAGAATAACATTAGGAGCTACCTTCTTCTTCTTTTTATTTGTTTACGTTTTGCGACCAACAATTTTGTTGTCTACTTAAGACAGAGAGAACGACTTTTACTCTAAGCTCTTTCATTCATGGAGTAAACAGTTTGGCGTCTATGAATATATATAATTTTAATTTCACAGCTTTCAGAATAATGTTATTTAAGCTAATTCAATTTCACAACTTTCATAATAATAAATTGAACTTAACAATATTAGTCGGCAGTTATATACAGTTTATATTCAGTATTAAAATTTCGCCTTTTAATTAAAAGTATATATGTATGTATTTAGAACAAAGCAGCTTTTTACATTATTCAATTTAATGTTGGCATTGAATATTAAATATTCAAAAATGTTGGTATATTTTTATACTAAAATGCTATGCGAAGGGGGGGGGGGGGACAGGTCCCCGACGTAGAGAGTAGTAAAGAAAGCGGAAAGGTGAGCAGTGAAAAGAAAGGAGTATGGAAACCCTTTATGACTGTTAAATTAACGTATCTGTAATACTTAAATGCTATGGAAAGATAGGGAAACAGGTCTACGATGTAGGAAGTAGTGAAGGAAATGTTGAAGGAAGTAGTCAAGGCGAGCGCTGCGGAGTGTGGGGGGCCTTTATGACAGTTAGAATAATGTATCTACAATTCTAAAAATGCTATGGGAAGGGAGAGAAACAGGTCCACGATGTAGGAAGTGGTGAAGGAAGTAGTCAAAGTGAGCAGTCCGGAGTGTGGGAAGCCTTTGTGACAATTAGAATAATGTATCTGCAATTCTAAAAATGCTATGGGAAGGGAGGGAAACAGGTTCACGACACTTAGGAAGTGGTGAAGGAAGTAGTCAAGGCGAGCGTTCCGGAGTGTGGGAACCCTTTGTGGCAGTTAGATTAATGTATCTGCCATCATAAAATGCTATAGGAAGGGAGGGAAACAGGTCCACGACGAAGAAAGCGGTGATGGAAGTAGTCAAGGCGAGCATTCCGGAGTGTGAGAACCCTTTGTGGCAGTTAGATTAATGTATCTGCCTTAATGAAATGCTATAGGAAGGGAGAGAAACAGGTCCACGACGTAGGAAGCGGTGATGGAAGTAGTCAAGGCGAGCAGTCCGGAGCGTAGAAACCCTTTGTGACAGTTAGATTAATATACCTGCAATACTAAAATGCTATAGGAAGGGAGGGAAACAGGTCCACGACGTAGGAAATGGTAATGGAAGTAGTCGAGGCGAGCATTCTGGAGTGTAGAAACCCTTTGTGACAGTTAGATTAGTGTAACTGCAATTCGAAAATGCTATGGGAAGGGAGGGAAACAGGTTTACGACGTAGGAAGCCGTGATGGAAGTAGTCAAGGCGAGCAGTCCGGAGTGTGGGAACTCTTTGTGACAGTTAGATTAATGTAACTGCAATATTAAAATAATATAGGAAAGGAGGGAAACAGGTCCACGACTTAGGAAGTGGTAATGGAAGTAGTCGAGGCGAGCATTCTGAAGTGTAAAAACCCTTTGTGACAGTTAGATTAGTGTAACTGCAATTCTTAAATGCTATAGGAAGGGAGGAAAACAGGTCCACGACGTAGGAAGTGGTAATGGAAGTAGTCGAGGCGAGCAGTCCGGAGTGTAGAAACCCTTTGTGACAGTTAGATTAATATACCTGCAATACTTAAATGCTACAGGAAGGGAGGGAAACAGGTCCACGACGTAGGAAGTGGTAATGTAATTAGTTGAGGTGAGCATTCTGGAGTGTAGAAACCCTTTGTGAAAGATAGATTAGTGTAACTGCAATTCTAAAATGCTATCGGAAGGGAGGGAAACAGGTCCACGACGAAGGAAGTGGTGATGGAAGTAGTCAAGGCGAGCAGTCTGGAGAGTAGAAACCCTTTGTGACAGTTAGATTAATATACCTGCAATACTAAAATGCTATAGGAAGGGAGGGAAACAGGTCCACGATGTAGGAAGTGGTAATGGAAGTAGTCGAGGCGAGCAGTCCGGAGTGTAGAAACCCTTTTGACAGTTTGATTAATATACATGCAATACTAAAATGCTATACGAAGGGAGGGAAACAGGTCCACGAGGTAGGAAGTGGTAATGGAAGTAGTCGAGGCGAGCATTCTGGAGTGTAAACCCCCTTTGTGATAGTTAGATTAATGTAACTGCAATTCTAAAATGCTATGGGAAGGGAGGGAAACAGGTCCACGACGTAGGAAGCGGTGATGGAAGTAGTCAAGGCGAGCAGGCCGGAGCGTAGAAACCCTTTGTGACAGTTAGATTAATATACCTGCAATACTAAAATGCTATAGGAAGGGAGGGAAACAGGTCCACGACGTAGGAAATGGTAATGGAAGTAGTCGAGGCGAGCATTCTGGTGTGTAGAAACCCTTTGTGACAGTTAGATTAGTGTAACTGCAATTCGAAAATGCTATGGGAAGGGAGGGAAACAGGTTTACGACGTAGGAAGCCGTTATGGAAGTAGTCAAGGCGAGCAGTCCGGAGTGTGGGAACTCTTTGTGACAGTTAGATTAATATACCTGCAATACTAAAATGCTATAGGAAGGGAGGGAAACAGGTCCACGATGTAGGAAAAGGTAATGGAAGTAGTCTAGACGAGCAGTCCGGAGTGTAGAAACCCTTTTGACAGTTTGATTAATATACCTGCAATATTAAAATGCTATAGGAAGGGAGGGAAACAGGTCCACGAGGTAGGAAGTGGTAATGGAAGTAGTCGAGGCGAGCATTCTGGAGTGTAACACCCCTTTGTGATAGTTAGATTAATGTAACTGCAATTCTAAAATGCTATGGGAAGGGAGGGAAACAGGTCCACGACGTAGGAAGCGGTGAAGGATTTAGTCAAGGTGAGCAGTCCGGAGTGTGGGAACCCTTTGTGAAAGTTAAATTAATCTATTTGAAATTCTAAAATGCTCTAGGAAGGGAGGGAAACAGGTCCACGACGTAGGAAGTGGTGAAGGATGTAGTCAAGGTGAACAGTCAGGAGTGTGGGAACCCTTTGTGAAAGTTAAATTAATCTATTTGAAATTCTAAAATGCTATAGGAAGGGAGGGAAACAGGTCTACGACGTAGGAAGTGGTGAAGGAAATAGTCGAGGCGAGCATTCCGGAGTGTAGAAACCCTTTGTGATAATTAGAATAATGTAGATTATCTGCAATTCTAAAAATGCTATGGGAAGGGAGGGAAACAGGTCCACGACGTAGGAAGTGGTGAAGGGAGTAGTCGAGGCGAGGAGTCCGGAGTGTGGGAACCCTTTTTGACAGTTAGATTAATGTATCTGCAATAATAAAATGCTATGAGAGGAGTGGTAAACAGGTCCACGACGTAGGAAGTGGTAAAGAAAGTAGTCAAGGTGAACAGTCCAGGGTGTGGGAACTCTTTGTGACAGTTAGATTAACGTATCTGCAATAATAAAATGCTATGAGAAGAGAGGGAAACAGGAAATACATTACGTATATTACCAATGACTTTGGTTAATTAATGGACGAGAAGTTAGGATTGTTGTTGACTGAGATTTGGTTTTTTTAAGAGGTTGGTCCAGCCTCTTTTAACCTCGCCCGTGCGTGGATCGTTTACAGCAAAGCAATTGGTGAGCCGGTACAGTACAAAGGTGAACTGTACTGATAAAATTTAGTGGCAGTGACCAGGATCCGAACTCACGACATCACTGCCTTGGGCCCGAAGTTCGCGTGACGCTACCGACTTGAGTCACCGACTCACCATTATTTGCCCCGACTCATGGGTTGATTTGCCCATACAAATAACATTATTGTGTACACCAGTGACACCGGTAAGTGTGCTAGGTGTAGGTTGACTCTTTCATTATTGCGCTCATGTTCACTCATCCTGTTACGCGCAGAATAAGCGTACTACTAGTTCTAATGGAGAATAAGTCAACTGTTGTTGTTTGCTTGTTTATGAACATATTTTGATCAAATTTGGAAAATACATTAATTTCTTACTAAACCACAGTACCTTTTAATATTTTACATTAAAAAAAACTTTTTACCCTCCCTGTTGCAGCAAACCTAGTACTCATTAAACTAACTCTGTTTGAATTGGGAATAAATGTGATATTTTTAAGGAGACATTTTAGTTTAAATATAATCAGGCAAATGGAAATTCGCTAAGTCTGCAGGTTTGCTGCGGCGGGGGTATTTTATACTTAAATACTTTAACCGATTGTAAGGGTGAAAAATGAAGTCCAATGTTTTTGTTGTAAGCTACAGTTGAATTTGATGTTAATATAACATCAAAGCTAGCTTTTTGGATGTTAATATCGGATTCCAACTACTGTAATACTTTCCTGGTCAAAACTACCATAATCCACTTTTGGAAGAGGTATCTGAATAACAAGATGTAGTAAAAAAAATTTGAATTAAGTTATAATTTTAATCAATAAAACAAGCATTAGTACATCTATTGAATTTTTAACTTAGTTACTTATACAAATAACAAATCTTGTTTGTTCCGCTCAACTAGCTTTCACCTCTCTGAAAGCAACCCTAGTTTAGTCAGTTGACATTTTTATTGTCTAATACTAATATGTTGTGTTTGGAATTGCAGGCTACTCTGTAGGCAGCCTGATGGGGGGAATCCTGTACAGGTCTCTAGGAGGAAGTTCAGCTTTCAGAGTGTTCAGTGTCTTTGCCTTAGTATGCAGCATTTCACACTGGCTTCTTAATGTCATTTTCTTCAAGGAAACTAACGTAAAGTCTGTTAGTGAACAAAAACTTGGTATGTCTTGTGTTTAGTAAAGCTTAATTTATAGAAACATATTAATTAAGGAACACAAAACATTATTTAAGTAGGGATTACCAGTTATCAGTGCAATTTATACAGCACACAACAGGTACAGACCAATCAACCAGAGTTACATCTAGGTTATCAGCGCTTGTAAGCACTTTGGTGATCAGTACCTCTTTTCTGATATTTTTTGTTGTTAAGGGCTACATTTTGCACATAGATCAAGTGCTGATGGCAGATGTTCCATCTACAATGAATAAACCGAATAGGCCTTCACACTCCATTTTTTTAACTGAGTCAGATATTTGCTTCCGTCGTAGTAGGCCTAGGCCTACTAATGCATTATTTCTGTTTGCTACAGGTCGGAACTTTTAAGATGAAGATCAGACTTTTGACAAAGCAGAGTCAAGTGAGACATCCGTATCTCATTTTTATTTCTTCATCAAAGTGGGATAAGTTATTAAGTTTATAAGTTGTTAATTTCTTTTTTGTAATTCGTGATTTAATCTAAACTAAATCATTAATTCTTAGTGCCAGGGGAAAACTATTAGTATACTCTGAGCAGTCTTTGATCAATGTCATCCAGCCAAATCTTCTTTTTTAGTCTATAGCCTAATCTGTTAAAATAGTAATATTGTAGACTTTGTTAATGTAAGCAGCAGTTATGATTCCTATATAATTTATACATTTTGTTACTATTCATGTAACCAACACATTCATTATTGTAAATTTGACATAGGCCTACATGATGGTATTCTAATGTACTCGTAGTTTTGAAATTACTAATTAAAACATTTTTTAAGCACAAACTTAACACTTAAAAAGCTAATTTCACATGCCATATGTGGTTTACCATTAAAAATAAGTCTTACAATAACTACTATATTTTTCAATTTCCTTAAGCTAATAATTCATCTATTTATTAACTAAATTGAATATTTATTGTAAACTGGTCCATTATACAAGTCTTAGTAAGCTATTATAGTAGTTTATGCAACAATTGCGTAAAGATATTGTTAACGACACAAGTAGAAAATTTAAGGTACGAGCCTTGGCGAATGTTGTTTACGCGAGTTGCTACTTTACCTACGACAGTGTTTTAATCACTTTATCACTACTCATAACTTCTAAGAGAGGTTATGTTTTCGTTTGTAACCTCTCATTGTACCTGTTATATCTCCTAGTCTGTGATTTGATGCATATTTACTTTTGACTAATTTAAACTGTCATATGGTTTTGTTTTGTTGTTGTCATAATAGTTTTATATGAGTTGTTGAAAATAGAAGTGTGGTTTTAAAAAGTCTAGTTTTTTTCTAATTTTATCTTTATAGTTTTCATCACTTTAAGAAGGTAGTGTAAAACAACATTTGGCGACCGTGACAGGACTTGTTTTTCACCTATCTCTATGATGGAAAATCTAAAGAAAAATAGAACAGTATATAGGGCTTATTTTTCTAAAACATTGAACAAACTAAACAGATTAGTTGAAAATGAAACCACAAACAAAATTGAAATTCAAACCACTCTAAAGCTTTTGGAGATAAAGGTTGATGAACTCCAGGTTTTGAATTCTCAGATCTTTGATTTGTTATTGAATAATGATAATGTTTCTGAAGATGAGCTGTTAGCTGAAACAATCTTAGCTGGAGAATATTTAGCTTTGTTTGAAGCTGTAAAATTAAGAGTCCAGAATTTACTACAACAAAGTAACGATGTAGTTAGTGCTCATTCTGGATCTTGCTGTAACAATGCTAGTAAGAAGAAATTTAAGCTCCCTAAAATTGAGATCAAAAAGTTTGATGGAGAATTGATCAATTGGCTACCTTTCTGGAGTCAGTTTAGCAAAATTCATAGTGACTCAGACATTGATTCAGAAGATAAGTTTCAATATTTATTGCAATCCATAGTTACCGGATCAAGAGCTTTTGATGTAGTTCAGAGTTTTCCTCCAACTGGTGCAAACTATCCAAAAGCAATTGAATGTTTGAAAGCCAGATTTGGTAAAGATGACCTATTGGTAGAGGTTTATGTCAGGGAACTCTTGAAAATTGTTTTACAAAATGCTCTAGGAGGCAAGAACACAATGAACTTACAAAGTTTATATGACAAACTTGAGTCTCATATGCGTGCATTAGATACCTTGGGAGTTACAACAGATAAATGTTCCTCCATGTTATACCCGTTAGTTGAAAGTTGTATGCCTGAAGATCTCTTAAGGGCGTGGCAAAGAAGCCCTTTGAAAGTAGGTACAGACCCTCAGGAAAGACTCAACAATTTAATGAAGTTTATGTTGTCTGAAGTTGAAGGGGAACAGAGAATCGGTCTAGCCATGGCAGGTTTTGGGATAAGTAGCTCTGGGAAGGAGAAATCTTTTAAAAGGTCACCTCAAACTCAACCAGGTAAGATAGACATACCAACAGCTTCATGCCTCATGTCCTCTGGTAAAACTCAAAACTCTTATACAAAGTGTGTCTTTTGTGATAAGAATCATAAGAGTAGTAACTGTTTTGCTGCTCAGAAATTGCCATTGTCTCATAAGGTGTCCACTTTAAAGGAAAAGAGGTGCTGTTTCCTTTGCTTGCAGCCTGGTCACCGTATTAAGAATTGTAGAGCTCATTTGTCATGTTCTAATTGTAAAAGGAAACATTATCCTATAATGTGTCCTAGTATTCATTCCAAAGAAGTAGTGAATGAGTGTGTAAGCAAATGTGTTGATGAGGTATCTAAAGAAATGACAGTAGTGGAAGATACCGCTTTGGCCAATAAATCAAGTAGCAAAGTGAAAGTGTTTCTGCAAACAGTTAAGGCAAGATTAAGAACCCCAGGTAGTAATCAATTTGAGACTGTTCACATTCTTTTTGATTCTGGTTCACAGCGTTCTTACATTTTAAAGGACTTGGCTGAAAAAATGAATTACGAAAGCTTAGGAGAAGAAACAATCATACACTCTCTTTTTGGTAATGTCAAATCTGGTGAAGTAATTCATAACAGACATCGTGTGTTTCTAACCAGTCAAGATTACAGTTACAACTGCAACTTTGAGGTATTGAGTCAAACTACCATATGTGGGGAAATTCCACCTGTTACCGAAGGTCCCTGGATACAGGAACTTTTAGAGAAAAATGTTTCTCTGACTGACATACATGAGACCGAGCTACCAATTGGTATTTTGATTGGAGCGGATATAGCGGGTAAACTATTCACTGGAAATATGATTCAACTGAAATCTGGACTAGTGGCTATGGAAACTCTTCTGGGATGGACACTGATGGGTAAGGCTATAATTAGTTGTAGTACAGGTTCAACTACACTCTCCACTGTTGTAACATCAATGTTTATTATTGATGCTGACATATCGGAACTGTGGAGATTAGACACTATAGGCATTACTGATACAAGTGAATCAGTTTCCAAAGAGCAAAAGGCTTTGGCAGTTAAAAAGCATTTTATAAAAACTACCACTATAAATGAAGAAGGTCGATATGAAGTAAGTTTGCCCTGGGTTGATTGTCATCCTCCTTTGCCTAGTAACAGAGAGTTAGCCGAAAAGAGGTTATCAACAGTTGTAAAGAAATTGGATGGTAACAATTTAACCGAAGACTATGACTCAGTTTTTAAACAGTGGTTAAGTGATGGCATCATTGAAGCTGTACCTTCTGACGATTTGAACAACAACTTTCACTACCTGCCACATAGACCTGTATTGAAGGAGAGTAGTATTACCACACGAATTCGTCCAGTGTTTGATGCATCAGCAAAGACCAAGTTTTCACCCTCATTGAACGACTGTATTGAAAATGGACCAAATTTAATTGAACTGATTCCTTCTGTTATGATGCGTTTTAGGGAAGGGAAGTTTGGAGTTATTGCTGATATAGCAAAAGCCTTCTTACAGATATCGTTAAATGTACAAGATAGAAATTTTCTTCGGTTTTTATGGTTTGACATCAATGAAAGAAGCCGAAGTATTGTTTACCGCCATAAAAGAGTTGTTTTTGGAGTGAAATGTAGTCCATTTCTTCTAGGGGCAGTAATTGATCTGCATCTTCAAAAATCTATGACTTCTCAGGAGTTTGATGATAATGTGGTAAAGAAGCTGAGTAAAAGTTTTTACGTGGACAATGTTTCGACCAGTGTAGATACTTATGAGGAACTAAAACACTTTGTTGAAGAATCGAAACAAGTTATGGCTGCCGCTAAGTTTGATTTAAGAGGATGGCATGCCACGAGCGTCATTGAAGAAGGAGATAACAAGTTCGTCACTAATGTTTTGGGAGTTCAATGGAACTATATTGAGGACGTTCTGTTTTTTAACGTGACGAACTGTATTAACCCTCCGAGTGTCACGCGTCATAAAAACGACGCACAACACACTTTGTGTAGGGTCACGCGTCGCTTTTAAGACGCACAAACATCGTTTACGGCGAAGGCTCTATGACTGACTGAATCGGATTGAACTGGATCGAGTTAGGTATCGTTCTTTCCGTAATATTCTAAGCTTTCTAAAGAGGTCTATCTCTAAGCGCTATTCATTTTAGTTCCGAAAATATTGTAGCAGACAGCTGACGTGCGTGTATTTGTAAACAGCTAGGTTCCCCCGGACCGATGACTGATGTGTTTTATTACGTTTATCATTGTTTTAGTGTTAAAAATCAAAAGTAGTGATATACGTGGTGCATTATAAGAAGATTTAAGTGGTTTTGAAGTGCTGGTTGATGATCCTGAAGAAGTAGGTAGTGATATTGATGTAAATTATCAGCCAGATTCCTAGCTATGGTTAGGCTATGCATTCTTAGCTAAACGCTATGTAATGAAATCCGTTTTTCGCTCATAACTTATTTATTTGATAACTTACCTCGCTATATGATTATATATTTGTAATCCTCATTAAATTTAGAACAAAGTGGCTATTTTCAAATATTTATAGGCCTATAATTTATACAATTTCATTGAGCGCGAACTTATTTTTTTTTTGAAAATTTTCGAAATTA